AATTCCTGTAGGTACGGTCCAGATTTTTAGGCAGCATTGGGTACAGAGGCTCAAGAAAAAAGATTGTGGTAGCCTCTCGGCATCGCTCTTTCCGGATAAAAAACTAACGGTTCGCTATGATTTTTTTTTTTTAAAGACCGTCAAAATTATCTTTTTGATGAACTGATAAAAAGTAGGGTGCGTACTTTGCTTAATTCCGCGTCTTCGGTTTTCTTCAAATTGGCCACGTAATTCTGGAAATCTTTTTCAATTTTGTGTTGCAGCAACTCTTCGTTCACCACCGCCGACTTCAGCAATCTGCAAATAACGAAAATTAACTGAGTCATAAGAACCGTAAAATAAAAAACACATATCACTCCGTGGTTGTTGATACAAATCCAAATGCATCGTCGATATTCTATGCTCAAATTTTGGCGCTGTGTTCCGTGCCGGCGATTCTAACTTACAGCAAAATAATGCCAAAACGATGGCAACGCGCAATTTTAACCACAATGCACATTTCCTATCTTTTTATCCGTTCTGTCCTGCGTAACAGCGTTAAAAACGCACATTGTCACGGGGTTGTCTGTGTGTGTGTCCCACATTTTGTCCCGCACTTTCAACTCGGGAACCACAAAAGCTAGGCGGCTAAAATTTTTGTATGGTGTTCCCCGCCAACGAGTGACGCGGCAAATTTAAATTCAGCCTTCCTTTACCCGTGGGTAATACGTGGGGTCCCGTGAAAGTTTTTTACGGGTAAACTAGTATCTCAGGAACCACGGAGTCTAGGAGGCTGAAATTTTAGGGTAATAACCCCCTGCTCACGCTCAACCTTGCCTATTCAAATTCAGCGTTCTCTCGCTGTTGAGTATCACCTACGACCTCGTGAAAATTTTGGCAGGTAAACTATTAACTCGGGAATCACGGAAAGATATTCGTCCTTCAAGGTTTCGAATCCAGCATTCATGCGCTGCTGCGTGAAATTTTTAACTGTTTTCCAATATTTGAACTATTTTTGCATAAAGTACAAAGCAGTGAAA